GGGCCGGCCAGGAAGCCGGCTGGTGGAGGAGGAGGGCCAGCCAGGAGGCGCAGGGACCTAGGAAAGGCCGCCTTCCACCCACTCCAAAGGCCCCCAAGCTCAGGCAGGAACCCTGCTATCCCGGCCACTGCTCGGGGTGCCCCTGGACCACAGACGGCCCAGCCAGGGGGCACGGACGTCTACAGGGCTGAGCCCCCGGACCACGGCCCAGCCAGGGGGCGCAGATGCCTACAGGGCTGAGCCCCCGGACCACGGCCCAGCCAGGGGGCACAGGCGCCTACAGGGCTGAGCCCCCGGACCACGACCCAGCCAGGGGGTGCAGACGATCTACAGGGCTGAGCCCCCTCCTACCTACCAGTGAGAGGCCTCCCCAGGAAGCCCACCAGGTGACTCTGGAAATCCTGCAAACCAGGAGGCCGCTCCAGGCGGCCACTCCACACGGACTGGCCCTCCACCCCGCAGGGACACAACTCCAGTCCCAAAGCGCTCCTCTCCTCCCTGGGGGTCTTTGTTCAAGTGCCGCCTTCCGGAGGAAACCCACCTGAGCCATAGGAAACTGACCCCTAGTCCCCACGCGCTCCCAAGCCCTTCTCTGCGGCCCTGCACACCAGGACCCACTGCATGCCACCGTTCTTACTGCGGGGGCAGCCCCTGTCCCCAGGGAGAACAGGTCACTGGTCTGTCTGTCCCCAGCACCTGGAGCGGGGCCTGAACGGAGCAGCGGCCTGAGAACAACTGCCCGACTCAGAAGAACGAAGCTCCGGCAGCAGCCAGCCAGGAGCCATGGCGCCTGCGCCCGCCCTGCACACCCCAACCGCCCCGGTGGGACGCCCACCTGCCACACGGGAATATGGGCACAGAGGCAGCTCACTCCCCGAGGTTCACACGGGTCTGCCAGGGCCTCACCCCCGATGAAAGCACCAAAAAGAAACCCAGTTCCCCAACGTGTCCGCAGGCGGCCCGGGCACTTCTCCAGGCACCATCTGAATCTCCCTGCCCTGGGCGGCTCGCACCCCACCATGGCCCCCAGGCACAATCTGTCCCTCCCAGTAAGCCCTTCCCACAGGAGGGCCCCGCAGCCGGAATCCCAGGAACTTACCAGAAACTGCCCTGTGGGGGTGTGCGAGGTGTGCGAGGTGTGCAAGGTGTCCTTGGCGACTCACAGAGACCTGCGGGAGGAAACACCATCCGTTAGTACACACCAAGGGGCCCACCTGGGGTTCACGCCGCGGCGACACCAGGAGACACCGTCAGGTGACGCTGTCAGCCTGGGGGGAGGGCGGCCCTGGGGCTCTGGGCCAGGCGTGCCCACCGCGAACCCCTCTGAGCTTCCCTAGTCCCTGGGAGCAGGTGCGGCCGCCATGCGACTGCGAGGGGGGCGGAGGCTGGCGGAGGCTGGCAGAACCACCGCTCTGCCCGAGTTCCACGGCCGGAGGTGACGGCGCGGCAGCTAGAAAGGTGGCCCAGGCCCGCACTCCGGCGGGGCACAAGGGCCTCAGTGGAACTGGCCCAGGACAGGTGAGGACGTCTTCTGGGGCCCTAGAACAGCTGAGAGGTTGACACGGGAAGCATGGCGGGTCAACTGTGCCGCTCAGAACACCCACATCATCACACGGCCCAGAAACCGGGACGCCCAGAGCCCACGGGGCCTTCGGAGAGCTCATGGCAAATGGAGTTATGGGTTTATTTAGGTGCCAAAATCTGAAGCCTACACATCGTTTTGTCATGAGACGTGCTGTCCCAGACTCCCTGAAAACCCCTCATATACACAAAGCACCCATAAAACCTGAGAGCCAGACCACCCCAGAAACGGTCACCCCAACACTCGGCAGACCAGGGCAAAAGGCGGCTACGAGCTCACGAGGGCGCTCGGTGTCATCAGTCGTGGGGCCAGCGCGGAGCAAGACCGTAGCAGAGCACCGCACGCCCGCTGCGATGCAGGGACAGCCAGTGCCGTGTCGCTGAGACCAGAGTAACCGGACCCCAGGCGGGCTGGTGAGATGTGGAACGGTGCGGCCACTGCGTGGCCTAGCAATTCCGCTCCGAGGTCTCTACCCGCTACCCAGACCCACGTGGAGCTGCACGTGGTCAGGAGCCACTGAGAACCCCACTGCCAGTCCACGTGAGCACTGCACATGTCCATCTGCCGTGGACTACAACTACACACGGAAGGGGCGCGAGCCGGCCAGCCGGTGGCCTGGTGCTCAAGGCTGCTAGATCCACACGGCTGACTGCAGTTCGAGTCCCGGACCCAGCAGCTTGAGAGACACGCCAGGCACGTGTGTGTGTGTATGCATGCCCACATCCCAGGAGGGAGAGACGGAGAAGGGATCGCGGCATGACCATCCCCAGGGTGGTGCTCTCTCGCCTTCCTCTTGGCGCCTCTCCAGTGAGTGCACACGCCCTCCAGCAAATTTAAAAAGGAGAGGAATGAGCTGCAGAGTCACCCCAGCATGCAGCGCACCCCGGCCTGCTCCGCTGTGTCAAGGGGCCGTGGCTGAGGTCGCGCACTCTACCACTCCTCACGCAACTCTGGGAAAGGCACGCGACTCTCAGGGAGCAGAGACAGAGACAGCAGTCTCCCAGAGAAGTTGGGAGTCGCGCCGGAGAGATGGCGGAGGGCTCCGTCTGCGATCCGCTCCTCTGCACCCCTCTGCATGTGCGTTCATTTTGTTTTGCTTTGCTTTTTTGGGTGTGGGGGAGATTTTTGCTACAGGGTACACACGCTCGCCAGAGGCAGACAGAAAGCGAGAAATCACCTTCTAGAAGGGATAGGCACGCCGCAATCCCTCCTCTTCCATTCTCCCCGCCGGATTTCGGGCACACAGGCACACACCCGACGTGAGTTTCAAGCCTCCAGGTCTGGGCTTTCCAACCACGGTCGGTCGGCCATGTGGGAGGCTAGTGGCATAACTAGTGACGTAACCTTTATGCCATCTGCTGGTCCTCGGTTTGCTTTTTGTTTTTAAATTTTTTACAGGGCATGTGTGCTCGCCAGGGGGAGAGAGTGAGTGAGAAAACACCGCCCCAGGGGGTGCACTCAGCAACCCCTTCTCCCCAGATCTCCTCTCAGATGGTGGGCACACACACACATGCACCTGGTGTGTTTCTCAAGCATCTGGGTCTGGGACTCGAACTGCGCAGCCAGCCATGCAGGACCCATCGTCTTCACCTCCACGCCAGCACTGTGCTAACTTCTGCTGAGCACAGCGCGGAGCTCAGCGCAGAGAGCCAAGGACCCGCTGCCCCACTCCCTGGCAGCAGCTGTGACAATGGGCGCCCCCAGCCCTCCCAGGCAGGCTTCGGAACATGGGCCTGCTCCCCAGCAATGCCCTCGAGTCCTGCCCATCTGCAAACAGTGACCCTGTAAGGACCCCGTTCTCCACGCTGTGCAGGACCCCAGGGCTAGCCGAATGCAGCTGCCTACTCTCACGAGGCTGGGGCAGCTGGGGCCAGCGCTCAGGCTCTCCAGCCAGGAGCCCTGGGTTCGAATCCTACCTGGGCGGCCTGGGCCCAGCAGCTTTAGCCCTGAGGCCCCACATCCTCACCTCTCAAATGACACGATGACGGAAAGGCGGACCTCACAGGAATGCGGCAAACATCACGTGGTGCAGGGCCAGCGCAGACGCTGAGCTCTGAGCTCGGCTGTGGCCGGGACACCCCCTGCCCAGAGCGCCCCCTGCCCAGAGCCGGCAGCTCCAGCCCTTGCCCACACCCCCGCCCAGCGGGCCCCTGCAAATCCCCAGGAGCCTCTGAGGGGCAGCTGTGCGCGGCTTAGAGCAGTCCAGCCACTTCTTTCTGCCCTTTCTTCTCTCCTCATGACGATGCCCCAGGCTTGGCACTTGGCCCTGCCATCTGCGGTGGCTCCAGAGACAGGCCCCTGCAGGAAGGCTGGAGACGAGGAGGGCCTGGCACATCTCCATGGCCGTCCTGCCTGGCTCCCAGAAGCCTGGGTAGCCGGCCACCTGCAGCCTGTCCCTGCGGTGTGGCAGAGCCGGCCCAGGGCTGCAAGAGGCTCCTGACCACCACCTTGGAAAGACAGAGCCCCGGGCTCCTTCCCCGCACCCTCTCCAGAGTGCCAGGCAGCCGGGGGCTGGCTCCAAGGTCATAGTGTGTGGGCCACGGGCACCTCCCTCATGTCTGAGCGACACGCACGTCGTCAGAGGGCTCCCTGTTTAGAAACCCACAGGGACGCCCCAGGTGAGGTCCTGTCAGGCTGGCCGAGTTCAAGGGACACGGCTGATGGGGAGGGAGCCCAGCAGGAGACCAGCATAGACAAGGGTCTGAGGAGAGGAGGGAACCACAGCAGGGCAGAGAGGAGGTAGTGGGAGACGAGGCCCAGAGCAGACCCTCGGGCTGTGAGGACAGGCTGGTGCGGCCGAGCTGAACCGAGTTGGAGCACCCAGGCCAGGAGCCATGTGGTGACCGGTGGGGCAGGGATGCATGGGAGCTGCAGAGACAGTGCCAGGCTTCCCAGTGGACACGGGACAGGCGCCCGGCAACGGAGGGTGACCATGCACACCTGCTGTCCCTCTCTGGGTTCCACAGACAGCAGCGCCACCCCCCCACCCCGCCCCAAAGCTGAGGCTCAGAGAGTGGATGAGGCCCACCTGAAGTCACAGTGAGGAAGGGAATGAGGCAGGATTCGAACCCAGGTCGTGGGGAGCCACTGCCAATACCCAAGAGGTCCCAGCTCAGCTCCCCCCGTGGTAGCACGTCTCTCTGGAAGACCCAGAGGGCACACTCACTCCTACTCACAATCACACTCACCCAAGGCCTCTGTCACTCTCGCCTGCCCTTCTCCCACTCACACTCGTTCATGACCCTGCCACCTCGGTCACACTTATTCTCACACACCCACTCCCACGTGCGCATGCTCACTGGTGCCACTCTCAAACCCTCACACGCCCCTTCACGCTTACCGCCCCTCCCACAAGCTCCCACTCTGACTCAGCCTGTCTGGGGGAACCAGGGCCCCTTCTCCACTTCCTCTGTTGGGGGAGCCTTCTCGACTCCGTTTGCAGGATGCTGGTTCAGCCCCCAACAGCTGAAGGAAGCTGGTCAGCCAATCCCCCTTCCCCAGCCCCTCTCTGGGGAGCTGACCACCTCCTTTCCCAGCACCACAGCTGTGCGAGTGTGAGGAGGAGCAGAGCAAGCAGAGGAGCAGAGCGAGCAGAGGCACAGAGCATGAGGAGCAGCAGAGCGTGCAAAGGAGCAGAGCGTGAGGAGGAGCAGAGCGTGAGGAGGAGCAGAGCGTGAGGAGGAGCAGAGCGTGC